ATCCCCCTTCACAGATGCACACGTACCTTGATCCAGCACCACAACGCTTGACTCTCCCGGCTGCACCTGCGCATTGTGACTTCTACGGGACCGTCTCTCATGGTCTCCGGCCTGTCCTTGGGCTGCAGCCCATAGAAGTGTATGGGGGCTGTAATGTGCAGGTCCAGCCAGCAGAGGGAGCAGTGATGAGGCGGATTTAAACATACAGCGGAATGGTGGCTGTTGGATCGAGGTAGGTGTGCATTGGTGAAGGGGGAGGGGTGGGTTAGGTGAGGTCAGGGGTAACGGGAAAAAAAAAAGGATAAATGCACTTTAATTTACAGTGTACTTATCCTTTTAAGTGACACTAAACTCCGGAGTTAAATCTTAAAAATGCACGAGAGCGAGCGGCGGGGACAGAGGTAAGTAATTACCTTCTTGGTAACTTTTTTATTTTTTTTTCAATGTTTTTGCATCTTGCTAGCAGTAGATATATGAAATAAAAACCGAGTGTTTAATTTTACTTTAACTAGTAACAACAATGTATTAGGATCTACAGCCGAGTGATACACAAATAAGATGCATTGTTGTTCATAGTTCAGGGACTTGAATGTATTTTTAGGATTTCATTCCGGGGTTTAGTGTCACTTTAAATCTTTCCGGAAATGTATCTCAGCAGCTGACAAAGATCGGGAAACTCTTATATATGTGATGAGCTGAGACCTCCGTATATATTACCTCCTTTATCCTCTTTACGGCGTAGGTTCTGCCCGCCTTCTGTCCCACATAGATGTCAGCAAACTGTCCGGAGTAAGTCTTCCTGTCGATGCTGAAATTGTCGGTGATTTCATCCAGCTGCCGCGGAGTCCATTGCTGACAGAAGGAGCCCGGCGTCAGACTGATCTCCTGCTGCGGAATACTCAGGACCTGCAGACAGGGGAGAGCCAATATAGATCATAGAGAGCCAATCATAGATCATAGAGACCCAATGGATCATAGAGAGCCAATGGATCATAGAGACCCAATATAGATCATAGAGAGCCAATGGATCATAGAGAGCCAATTATAGATCATAGAGAGCCAATGGATCATAGAGAGCCAATGGATCATAGAGACCCAATATAGATCATAGAGAGCCAATGGATCATAGAGACCCAATATAGATCATAGAGAGCCAATGGATCATAGAGAGCCAATATAGATCATAGAGAGCCAATGGATCATAGAGAGGCAATATAGATCATAGAGAGCCAATATAGATCATAGAGAGCCAATAGATCATAGAGAGCCAATGGATCGCCAATATAGATCGTAGAGAGCCAATGGATTATAGAGAGCCAATATAGATCATAGAGAGCCAATATAGATCATAGAGAGCCAATAGATCATAGAGAGCCAATGGATCGCCAATATAGATCATAGAGAGCCAATGAATTATAGAGAGCCAATATAGATCATAGAGAGCTAATGGATCATAGAGAGCCAATGGATCATAGAGAGCCAATATAGATCATAGATAGCCAATGGATCATCATAGAGAGCCAATGGATCAATGACTTCATATCCACAGATAAATACTGAAACTCCACTATAGCTGGAGGGCCTACACCCTATTATAAATGTAACCATGGATACTACGGGATGGAAATCGATACATATATAAGCTCATTCACCTCAGCAGCCTCTAGAATTGTAACATTGTATCTCATTACTAGCATGTATTTATTTCCTCTGAGCTTCAGCTCCACCTAGTGGCCATAATGTGGCATCTCCCCCATTCACTTTGTTCTTGATGAATAATCCTATTGAAGAACATTCGACCAGAAGAGAAATTACACCAAGAACATTCGATTTTTTCCCCATTCTCACAACAGCTGGTGACCCTCAAACAGCAAATATTCAGTTTTGCTGGATTAATATCTATGCAAATGTTTTATATATAGACTCCTTAATATGGAAACAGTTGCTGACCCCCAAAATGATCTTAAAAAAATATACACTCCCTCTAAATCCCACGCACCTCATCTGTAAGGGAGAGCGGATCGTTGTCATTCTGCAAGGACCTCAGAAGTTCCGATGGCGGGGGCGGCGGTGGCGGCAGCGACGGAGCAAAGACTGAAATATACAATCAGATTGTCACTGTCAGTGTCCACCTCTGGATCCGACCAGAACCCTCAATGGGGCCCGTGTTACCTGGAGGTTTCTCTATCCCCGCGGTACTGTTCATCAAGTTCTGTTCTGTCCCGGAACCAAAATCTGATTGTCTTTCCGATCCTGGAGAGTTCCTGGAGGAGACCGGGCAGCCTGCGATCAATAGAGATTAATGTGATCGATCGATAAAACTGCTTACTGACTAATAGATCAGAAAAGAGAAGAAGAAGAACTGATGCTGAGAACACAGAACCATTTATATCAGTACCTGCCGCCAGAGGAGCTGACACTCTAATGTCCCCCCACAGTCACAAATCATTATTATTATACATGTATATAGCTCTGACATATACCGCAGTGCTGTACAGAGAACACCGAGACAGTCACATCCATCTCTGCACCAGAGGAGCTTACACTCTAATGTCCCCCCACAGTCACAAATCATTATTATTATACATGTATATAGCTCTGACATATACCGCAGTGCTGTACAGAGAACACCGAGACAGTCACATCCATCTCTGCACCAGAGGAGCTTACACTCTAATGTCCCCCCACAGTCACAAATCATTATTATTATACATGTATATAGCTCTGACATATACCGCAGTGCTGTACAGAGAACACCGAGACAGTCACATCCATCTCTGCACCAGAGGAGCTTACACTCTAATGTCCCCCCACAGTCACAAATCATTATTATTATACATGTATATAGCTCTGACATATACCGCAGTGCTGTACAGAGAACACCGAGACAGTCACATCCATCTCTGCACCAGAGGAGCTTACACTCTAATGTCCCCCCACAGTCACAAATCATTATTATTATACATGTATATAGCTCTGACATATACCGCAGTGCTGTACAGAGAACACCGAGACAGTCACATCCATCTCTGCACCAGAGGAGCTTACACTCTAATGTCCCCCCACAGTCACAAATCATTATTATTATACATGTATATAGCTCTGACATATACCGCAGTGCTGTACAGAGAACACCGAGACAGTCACATCCATCTCTGCACCAGAGGAGCTTACACTCTAATGTCCCCCCACAGTCACAAATCATTATTATTATACATGTATATAGCTCTGACATATACCGCAGTGCTGTACAGAGAACACCGAGACAGTCACATCCATCTCTGCACCAGAGGAGCTTACACTCTAATGTCCCCCCACAGTCACAAATCATTATTATTATACATGTATATAGCTCTGACATATACCGCAGTGCTGTACAGAGAACACCGAGACAGTCACATCCATCTCTGCACCAGAGGAGCTTACACTCTAATGTCCCCCCACAGTCACACCCTATTATCTTTGACGTCACCTCACGCATACGCGATGCACGACCATCTGATTGATGCCTGCCGGCGCCATCTTGGTGATGAACGCCGGCAGAGAGAGGAGGAGACGTTCCCCCAACAGTCACACACTATTATTATAGATATATATAGCGCTGACATATAGCGCAGTGCTGTACAAAGTGACCCTGCAATATAAAATGTGTTATTTATGTTAAAGTGAATTTAAAGGGGGCCTCTTGCAAAATGTAAGATGCTTATTGTGTAATAATTAGGCTTTGGACGCCAATGTCATTCCCCGGATGCAGCTTCCTGTCCCCCGGAGATTTGATTTGGATGACTTCCCATTTCTGTGCTTTGAATTCATTGTAACAGTGACCGGCTTCTGTACAAATGGGCTCGAGCACTTGTATCACTGTGACTGGGGCATTAGTCTGTGAGCTCCTCGGGGGCGGGGACTGAGCTTTACAGTTCTATGTACTCTGTCGACCTCTGCAGAATATTTTGGTGCTACAGATACGGGAAGTAAATCCATATAATAACTCTAACCAGAAGATGGCAGTGGGCTTTTCTCTATACTATTAGCATCACAGCACTTGGCGCTCATTCACTCCTCATAGACCTGACTTACTCTGCCGGAGGACGTCCATGGCTCTGTAGAGTTCCAGCTTCTCCAGGATCTCCTCCAGGTCCTGCACGGTGGCCAGCTTCTGTCCCCAACTCCAAAGCAGTTCCCTGGTGGCGTTGTCCCCCGCTCGCCGCTTCATCGCGAATCTCTGCACAGTCGTTTCATCGCTCATGATGTTGGAAGCTAAAAATAATAATAATACGTTATTCTCTCATAGGTCAAGGGTGGGCAAACTCCGCCCCTACAAATCCTATGAGGCATTGCAAGATTCTCACAGCTACAGGCATGACCTCCAGAGGCAGGGGATTATATGATTTGTAGTTTCACCACAGCTGGAGGGCCGCAGGTTTGAACAAGTTTCCTTTTTTTGGGAAAAATTTTGATTTTTAGTGGCTTTTGATGTTTTTTTAAGGGTGCAGTGGGCTTCGAAGATGAACTCTGAGCAAAAAAAAAAACAAAAAACCCTAATAAATGAATTCATAAGATTAGGAGGAATCAGGAAAATACCACATTATGGCCACTAGATGGAGCTGAGGATCATACTCCATTATGGCCACTAGATGGAGCTGAGGATCATACCCCATTATGGCCACTAGGTGGAGCTGAGGATCATACCACATTATGGCCACTAGATGGAGCTGAGGATCATACCCCATTATGGCCACTAGATGGAGCTGAGGATCATACCCCATTATGGCCACTAGATGGAGCTGAGGATCATACCACATTATGGCCACTAGGTGGAGCTGAGGATCATACCCCATTATGGCCACTAGATGGAGCTGAGGATCATACCACATTATGGCCACTAGATGGAGCTGAGGATTATACCACATTATGGCCACTAGGTGGAGCTGAAGATCATACCCCATTATAGCCACTAGGTGGAGCTGAGGATCATACCACATTATGGCCACTAGATGGAGCCACAGAGCATAGAATAGACGTATTTATAACTTATGCTCCTCAGCGCCATCTAGTTGCCATAATGAGGTATTTTCCCCGATTCCTCCTAATCTTATGAATTCATTCTTTTCAACCTGGAATGAAAATACACTTATAACATTTTAGTTTTTGCCCCATGTGCACATAATGAATGTACATGGCACTTTCACAGGACAAATGGCTCTGTAAAACATGGAACATGAGACTGTCTGAGGTGTAGATATAAGCCCCCTGCTCTTATTCTCCTCGTTTGAGCGTCCAGTGCAGGCACTCATACATTCCTTCAGAAGACGATGATAACTGAATACAAACGGAGAGATGAAGGTGCAGTATGTGTTCATGAGCCATTATAATTCACCACAGGTGAAAGATATAAGACAGAAATCTAACTGCAACTGAAGCCACAACTTTTTTTTTGGGGGGGG